AAAGTAACGTTTATCGACTCTTCAACAACAAGTGTTCGTTTGTTGAAGACCCTATAAGCCTTACTTCTAGATGCATATCCTTAAAATATACCAACATTAATTTTTGAGTCAAACATATCATGGTGGTCTTTAGTATTTAAGATAAAACATTTATAATCAAAAATATAAAATTATCTAATATATGGGGTTTTGCCAAAAACGAGTTCATAAGGAGTTTTCTTAAATTTAGGTCTAATCAAGACACGATTTAAAACATGGCAAGCCGTATTCACGGCTTCCGCCCAAAAATACTTAGGAAAAACATAAGCATTTATCATTGTATGTGTCATCTCTTGTATGGTCTGATTTTTCTGTTTAACAACACCATTTTGTTGTGGTGTTCTAGATGCATTTATTTTGAAATTCACCACCATGATCACTTCTAATTTTAAATATTTTTAAATTCTTTTTATTTTCAATTCTTTTTACAAAATTAGAAAATTCTTCAAAACATTCATCTTTATTTGCAAGAAAGGTTACCCATGTAAAACATGAAAAAGTATCAATGATAACAAATACATAATGTTTACCTCCTAGAGAGGCAACACGCATAGGACCAAAAAGATCAAGATGTAGTAATTGCAAATGTTTAAAAGTGGATACCTCATTAATGGATTTGAAGGTGTTCTTGGTTTGTGTACCTTTAGCACAATCTTCACAAATAGAATCTTTAACAAATGATAGATTTGGTAGCCCTTTTACTAAATTTTTCTTAGATAGCTTGATATTAACTCCATGTTAGCATGTCCAAGTCTCTTATGCCAAATCCAAGGATCTTCATCCACTGCTACAAGACACTTCACATCTTAATCTATTAGTTCATTCATCTCAAAAATATAAATATTAGATCTTCTAAAAGCAACAAAAATGATTTTATCATTCATACTAATAATACATTTATCCGGTTTAAAAGAAATGTCAAAGTCCTTTGTCACTTAATTGACTAATACTAAGAAGATTATGATTTAGTCGTTTAACAAAATAAACATCCTTAATTATGAGAGAAGGTATCTTACCAATATTACCAATACCTACAATTTTACCTTTCTCACCACCACCAAAGAATACATTGCCTCTTTCAATCCTTGATTGAATTACAAATAATTCCTTGTTATCCGTCATGTGATGTGAGCAATCACTATCAATATACCACAACTCCTTACGTCTTGTGCGAGACGTTCCCTACATGTAACTAAGTTGTAGAACCTTTAGGTATCCAAACTTTGGGTCCTTGAATGTTAGTATTTTTGGTACCCTTAGGTACCCACATTAAATCATACGAATTAATGTTATTTTTAATCCTACAATGAGTAGAGATATGACCATATTTTATGCAATATGTGCACAAAAACTTTTTCTTGTAGTAGGAGCATAAGATTTATGATACAATCTTCTATCAACATGATGATGACTAGAGTAAGCATGATTAGATTTTATTCTATCATTTTTAATTTCTAGCCTCTCAATTTTAGATCTTAGTGTTTTGTTTTCAAAGTCTAGATCTCCTATCATTTCATCTTTTAGAGCAAGAGAGGATTGTAGTTGTTCAAACTTAGAGTCATAAGAAACATGTAATTTTTTGAAAGAAGAGTATTCTTTTGCCACTCTTTTAAATTCAATGTTTAATTCTTCAAGAAACATGTAATTTTTTGAAAGAAGAGTATTCTTTTGCCACTCTTTTAAATTCAATGTTTAATTCTTCTAATGCGGTTTCTAGTTCACTTTGCCACTCTTTTAAATTCAATGTTTAATTCTTCTAATGCGGTTTCTAGTTCACATTGCATAAAAAATAATTCACTTTTGGTTTTGGATTGTACCTCATCTTCATGAGCCATGAAGCAAATGTTTGGGTTATGAAGAGCAATCTTGACGCCCTCGTCATCGCTATCCGAATCACTTAGTCCGGATTCACCCCATCCGGCATACATAGCCTTCTTCTTCTTGTACTTCAAGTATTTTTCTTTACTTTGGGACAATCATTTGTAATGTGTCCCAATTCATTGCATTCGAAATATTTACCTACACGAAAGGAAAACTTGTTGTTAGATCGATTTTTAATATTTTTATTCATTTTAATTAATCATGATATTCTTCTAGAGAGATGTGCCACATCTCTAGAGACATCAACTTCACTATCCGAGGAGGATGAGTCATCAATTTCTTCTTTGAGCACAACAGTCTTCAATTTTTAAGATGGCTCATCGGTTGCCTTTGGGGGTACCTCCTCTCCTTGATCTTCTTCTCATGGACCTTGAGCTTACCAATGAGACCATCAAGAGTAAGCGTTGTAAGATCATGAGCTTCTTCAATGGCCGTAGCTTTTGGCTCCCACACCGGCGTCAAAGAACAAAGAATTTTGTATTTCATCTCTTGGTTCGACAACACCTTATTAAGGCCTTATAATTCATTTATGATGTTAGTAAACCTAGAAAACATAGCATCAATAGATTCATTGGGAAGCATTTTAAACAATTCATAATTATGCATGAGGCCACTAATTTTGGACTCCTTAACTTGGGGGGTTCCTTCATGAGTGATACACAATTTTCCCCAAATTTCGTGTGCGGTTGCTCACGTGGAAACCCTATTGTATTCATTGGGGGTAAGTCCACAAATTAATGCATTCATGCCCTTTATATTAATGTTTGCTTGATACCTCTCACCATCGGTCATACTACTACTACTAGGCTTCTCAACATATTTATTCTCTATAATATCTAAGATATCAAGGTCAATGCATCGTAGATAAATCCTCATTCTAGCCTTCCAATGAGGAATGTTGCTACCGATGAAAAGTGGGGGTCTAGTGGTGGATTGTCCCTCAAGCATATGCACATTTAAAGAAGTCTCCATCGGATCTTTCCTCTAAGGTGGTTAAACCTAAAAATATATAGAGACATTGCTCTGTTACCAATTGTTAGACCCTAAAGTGGGGTGAATAGGGTTATGAGGTAATAAATGTGCAATTAAAATTAAGACAATACAATACACCACAAAATAAACTACTAAAACAATATAAAGAAGATGAGTTAGGAAATAGTTAACCAATTTGGACACGCGATATATTCACGAGATTCGGTCCACCGACCTATGTCCCCGTTCCCCACTCTCTAGGAAAATTATACTATCACAACCCGGTTTGGAAGCCAAAACTTCTTCACAACGATCTTCTCTTGAGATCTCATAACCACACAGTAGATCTCCATGAGATCAAGCTCTCCACACGTTACAAATAAAAGAAAAAAGCTCTCTTACAACAGCCCTATGGAAAGATGAAGAGATTGTAATTTGAAGCTTGGGATTTTGGGTTTGTAAGTTTGAAAGCAAATGAAAGTTGAAGCTCTTTTTAACAATAACCAACAAACTCAAAATATTTTAAATGCTTGCTTAGTTACTGAAGTGAATGAGGTTAGTGAGTATTTATAAGCTTTCAATAGAACAGCCAAACCCCAAAGAAACAGAAAAAAATATTCAAAAACTGAGAAATCTGGTAACTATACAACACTAGCCGTTGGATCATCAACCGACTAATATTGTTCATCAGTCGACTGATGAGCTGACCGTTACAGGCAACTAGCAGCTCGTCGGTCAAATGAAGATATCATTAGTCAACTGATGATTCATCGGTCGACTGATAGTTATCAGTTACAAAAACAGAAATTTTTGATGATTCTGGCTAGTTTTATCAGTCGACTGATAATATGCATCAGTCGACTGATAACAGTTTTTCAGCTTGTTTTGAATGTTGAAAATTAATTTCAAAGACATTTAAAAATAGTAAATAAATTCCAAAATATGTGAAAATTTGGAAAAAATTTACAAACATAACAACAAACTTATTTGAAAAGGAATTTTGTAAAAAAGTCCTCGTATTTGTGAAAACATAATGTTTAGCAAAAGTGTCAAAATACGAGTACTTGAAAATGTGTAAGTGTATTATCCCAAGAGCCTCAAATGTAATTTTATCATACTACTTGCGTACGTTAAGCATTCACTAGTAGAAAACATAGTATTGGCGACGGGGAAATCCGTCGCCAATGCAGTCAAATCCGTCACGAATGCACATTCGTGACGCCCACTTTCCCGTCACCAATAATCCCCTCGCCAATACACATTGGCGACGGGGTCATCCGTCGCCAATGTACATTGGCGACGGAGAGGTATTGGTGACGGGAAACATTGGCGACGGGTTTACCACCGTCGTCAATACACATTGGCGACGGGGTGCTTTCCGTCGCCAATGTGTTTTGGCGACAAAACACATTGGTGACGGCGTGTTGTCCGTCGCCAATGTTTATTGGCGACAAAATGCACCCCGTCGCTAATGTTTATTGGCGACGAAAATCTAGCCATCGCCAAAACACATTGGCGATGGAAAACACCCCGTCACTAATGTGTATTGACAACGGGGTTGAACTCATCGCCAATGATTATTGGTGACGGAAAGCACCCTGTCGCCAATGTTTATTGGCGACGGCGATAAATGTACGTTGGCGACTGATTTCCCCGTCGCCGATGTTCATTAGCGACGGACCTTTTCGTCGCTAATGAATGTAATTCGAGAAAAAAAATGCTACTTTTTGAGCCCCATTTGGGAATATATACCTGTTGCTTCCAATATTCATAAAATATTCAATAATATTCACATTCATCGATTCACATCTTACAATATTCACATTCATCAATTCACATCCAATAGTATTCACATTCATCAATTCACATCCAACAGTATTCACATCCATCAATTCACATCCAACAATAATCACATTCATCATTCATCGATTCACACACACACACACACTATATATGCTCAACACAATCAAAAAATCGACAAAAGTAACAAAAAATCAACAAAAGTAATAAAAAAGTATAACTTCACGTATATATATAATCCGGAGGTCATTATATGCTCAACACAATCCAAAAGTCGATAAAAGTAACAAAAAAGTCTAACTCAGTACTCATTCATCGTAGTCATCTTGGTCCCTATCGTCGTGATTCCTATCGTCCGTAGCGGCTACATCAAAATGTCGTATCGTACTGCTGCTTCCTACAGTACCTCCTCTAGCCTGAAAAGAATGTAAATCAATATGAGAATATATTTCAAAATATTCATAATAACTGCATATATATATGACATACATACCTCTCCATCACTTATAGCTGCATGCTCATTAAATGCCATCCTCATGATATCCATGTATATAGGCTGCGGAAGCAAGTCCTTTAAGGGTTGAGAATCGATGAGTCGCTGAACGACATCCCAGGTCGTTTGTGCACCGCCTAACTCGTGTTTAATAGTGGGAAGAAAGCTTAAAACCAAAGAGGCTTCAACATTCTTCAACAAGTATTGACCAATCTTACCCACGACGTATGATGTGTCACATGGTCGCGTCGAGATCACAGATTGGCTGCTAGGCTTATTGGTGGTGGTGAATTTCTTAGCTACAACACTTGACAAAGGAACTCTTCCTTTCTTTCTTGGTTGTAAACCGTAAGCTCCGTCGACGACTTCCATCCACTCGTCTCTGGTCATGCGGTTAGGCTCTACAGGAGTGTCCTCTGTACCCTAAGACCGACTGACACGGGTCAAGACCTCGTTTTGAGAAGCTTCCACCGCCGCCTGTATATCATATATCATAAAAGTTAGAAACTTTGATGAGAAATCATTAAGTATATACAAATCTAAAATTAATCTTATACTTACGACCAATTCATTAATTTTCTCCACTTTTTTGTCATTTCCCTCTACATTTTCATAGCCCTGGGGCGGTGTATAAGCTCTTCTAGCAAGAAGAGCCGGGGGCATAGTCAAAGCGTCCTGTGATATATTAAATTTCAAAGTAAATGTATAAAACTAATCACATGATATCAGTTTTAATAATATGATCATACCGGGTTTTCACTCAAATACTTATGCTCGATCCGAGCATAAGGAGTAGATCCTAAGAAGTGATCGTATATCTTCATTTTGCGATTCACCGATGCTGTCTCACATATTTTCTACAAAATAAAGTACTTTATTAGTATGTGCGATGATTATATATAAATGAAAAGTAATGTCATGATAATATCTTAAATTAAAAATAATCCACCTTCTTCTCACCCTCCCACTCAATAATGAGAGTCATCCAATTAAATGGATAAACTCTCTTATCAAGCTCATAGATCCTCTTCCAATCAGTAGATATTTTTGTAAAATATCTATTTTTTAGAGCACTCTTCCAACCCCGAATAAGCTTGGCCATTTTAGGGATAACATAATCCCAAGACTCTGGGTTGTCCTCAAGACAATAATGATCCTGCAAGTTACATGGCAAAAAAATTACACTATAAGAATAATCATTGTGAATTGTAAACAAAATAAGCAGTATAATAGATAATTACCATGAGCTTTACCCAAATCTTCTTTATGCCTTTAAATTCTTGCTCCTCAAAGTTATGAGCAATGTTAATTGAGCATGGATCTCTTATTAAACAACCTATCAGGTTATTAAATCTGACGGCCCAATCCCCAACAGGAATGTTGCCCTTCCACTCTAAAATGGCCCGGTACCCTTTCGGAGGTACTTTCGTCTTTTCCTCACTCCCATGTCTACCGGGTTACTCATAATCTTTTTTGCCTACAAATACAAAGAGAAATAAATTTCTTATAAACTTACATAAATAAATAAGTAAGCAATCTCCAAAGTTTATACGAAATTATTACCCCTTTCCCTCATTAGATCAGCCATAGCTTTATCTAGTCTTTATTTTATGGCACGCTCCATTCTTTTAATATAATCTCTCCTAATTTTGAAGTTCCTATCGCATTTTTTTTGTAATGCAATAGCTTTTTCCCGTTGGAAATTTAGATAAGGAGATATATACCGAATGAAGTTTTATCGTTCGAATATAGAGCTTATCAGTGCTTTTACGTCAAGATCCATAAGGTGCGAATGTCTGGGGTATATTGTTGTATAAGGACGAGACTCTTTTCAGCTTTGCTATGATTAATCCAGACAGTTCGATGAATATAATGAGACGGAAGGTAGAAATTTTATTATACTGCATACCCCCAAATGTCATTTTAATATGTATACCTAGCTAAATTCGACTTGATGTTCTTAATGTAGGAGATTGATACTAATCCTTATGCAAATTTGATTTGGATATTTGAATGTAGGGTTTGAATAAAAAACTTATGCAAATTCATTTATATCTTCATTATTTTATTTAAATAGTTAAGTTGCAGATGAGCAAGATTAGGAGCTATCTTTTCCTCGGGATCAAGAAAGTCATCATCTGGGTATAAGTATTCAAATTTTGTTGAATGTAATAATATTAGTGAATAAATATGGCATGGATATTTACTAGTTTTTATTATCTATGATCATCATAGACCATTCGGATTCCATTTATTTAATGTGATCCACATTGAATGTATAATTTATTTATTTGTATTTATGTCAATTGTTAAATTATAGCTAATATAATATATATTTCTTGTTAGATATTGCGGCGACTTCTAAGATCACCCGGGCAATCGAGAGCTATCGCCAATTAGTTTTATTATTTTTATTATTCTTTGCATTATCATTCTTAATTTTACTTTGTATGTAATGAGTTTAATTTCCTAATATATGTTTTGCAGGACAATGTCTGTGATGGATTTGTTATGACGAGATTTAAGCAGAGATGATGTTCATTGATCTTCTTCCTCAGATGATGAGCATGGTCTCGCCTTGGATCCTCAGTTATATCACATCCTCTACCTGAT